CAGCTCAGACTTCACAAGAGTCAGTGCCTCAGTGTCAGCAGTGGCAAAGACGAGGTCGTAGACGTACACGAGGACGTAGAACGGCGGCAGCGAGGTGTTGGTGCGTAGAAACAGCGACGGGTCTGCTGTAGAAGGAGCAAACCCAGGAGCCGCAAGTGTAGTCCTCCGTGTGTCGTGCCACTAGCGAGGCGCCTGGCGGAGACCGTAGACTGGCCGGCGGAGGCTCCACTGAGTACCTGCAGGAAACGTCCCAGTGAAACCAGGTGGTCGGCGCAGCTAGATCTCCTCGTGCAGGCTGCCCTGTAGGAAGGCTGTTCTGAAGTCCAGGGAGTGCAACTCGTAGTCACGCTGAGCAACGACGTGTAGCAACACCCGAAGAGTAGTCATCTTCGGGGTGGGGGAGAAGGTCTGGAAGTAGTCAACCCCCTGTCGGTGACTGAAGCCTCGAACAACGTAGCGCGCCTTGAAGGCAGGCGGAGAAACCGGCGGCCACTTCACCCTCAAAATCCACATGCCATCGACTATGTTCGCCCTAGACGGGGGAACTGCGTCGATGTAGGTGCCTATGGACTTCCAGGATGCCATCTCGGCATCCATAGCTGCCTGCCACTGAGAGGAATAAGGACCCGTAATCGCCTCTGCGTAAGAGCGCAGGGTCGGGATGTCTGGAGCATCTGGGTCTCCCTCAGGGGCAAGCAGCATGGAAGCGAAACGAGGTACAGTAGCTGCAAGACACTCAAAGTCCTCCTGCCTATCCTCAAGGACGTCCATGCCAAGAACAGACTCACCCCCGACGGACGGAGGACTGGCAGGCACAGACTCAGCAACTAGAGCAGAGGCATAGTCGAGACGGCAGGCAGCAGCAAAGTCAAGCAGCTCAGCAACGAGAGCAGACGCAGCAGGAGACTCAAAGGAAGGGTCAGTGGCAACAGTGGCAAGTAGACGAGCAACAATGGGACTGGCAGCACGCGCGCGGTCAAACGCAGGGTCAGGGACCTCAGGAAGAGAGGACTCAGGAGGAGCAGGGAGAGGAACACGCAGTGGAACAGAGGAAGGACGGAGTGCCATAGTATGCGTGCCGGGGACAGGAGGAGGACGCGAACGAGGAGCGCGACGAGCAGTGCGAACAGGCGAGACAGGACGAGACGCAGGCTCACGACGCTCTGTAAGACCGCCGGACTGCTTAGTGTAAGGAGAAGGAGCAAGCAGTGGGGAGGCTGGCTGTAACGGCGGATGCGACTGGTCCGGCGGTTGACACAGTAGGGGAGGAGTAAGGCTAGTAGAAGACGGGACACCAAGAACCTGCTGAAGCAGGGGAACGACGTACAGTCGCGGCCGCAAAGTGTCTCCAGCACCTCCAGCTCCTGCAGCCCCAGCGCCTCCTGCGCCAGGGCCTCCAACTCCAGCTACTCCAGCTCCAGCGCCTCCAGCGCCAGCTGCTCCAGGCTCTGTAGGGTCTCCAGCTCCAGCGCACCCAACACCACCAGTCCCGGCAGCTCCAGCACCACTGGTACGAGCACCTCCAGGACCAGTAGCCGCAGTACCTCCAGTACCGCCAGCTCCAGTAGCAACAGCAGCACCTCCAGCTCCAGTGTCCCAAGCCCCTCCAGCTCCTGGAGCTCCACTCCGACGGTGCGCGTGCCGAACAAGCCACTCACGCAACTGCTGCGAGGACAGTCGCGGCGAAACACCAGCAGGACCTCCAGACGAAGCAGCACCCCGAGGCTCAGCACCCCCAGACTCCGCACCCTCCGACTCAGCACCCCCAGGCTCAACACCCTGAGGCTCAGCACCCCCAGGCTCAGCACCCCCAGACCCAGCACCCTCAGGCTCGCACCCCCCGGCTCCGCACCCCCAGACGCAGCACCCCCAGACGCAGCACCCCCAGACGCAGCACCTGGAGCAGCACCTGAGCCCATAGCTACCTGAACAGGCGCAGTACCAGGGAGAGGGTCTACCTGAGACACTCCCGAGGGAGAAGGACCCTGGGGCGGAAGGGGGTCTACCAGAGGTGGACCGGGAGCGAGGAAGAGCGGCGGGGGTGGGGAAGGGGCAGAGCGGTAAGGGAAGAGACGGTAGAAGGGAACCGACTCGTCGAACGTGACGTCCTGAGACGGGAGGACACGGCGCGAGGTGGGGTGGTAAAACTGCCAGCCAGACGCGTCAGGGACAAAGCCAAGGAAGACGCAGGGAATGGTGCGGGCGGAGAGCTTGACCGCGAACGTATCGCGAACAAAGGCACGAGAACCCCAGACCCGGAACACCAACGCATCGCCAACCTTCCTCGTCCAACGCAGTGTGGGCAAGGTCTCCGGGAAGGAGACACGGGGCCAGAGGTTGAGCTGATGCGCAGCGTACCGGACCGCAAACGGCCACAGAAAATGGGGAGCGGCCGCATGGATCATGGAGGTACGAGCGACCTCCATGACTAAGCCAATGCGGCGCTCAGCAATCCCATTTTGTTGAGGGGAGTCCGGAAGCGTGAACGACTGGAGAATGCCCTCCCCACGATAAAAGTCCCACAAGAGGTCAGAGGAGAACTCACCACCTCTGTCAGAGTGCAGACGCAAGACAGGGAGGTCCTAACCAAACCGCTCGCGTAGCTGGAGACGGACTGTGCGTATCCAAGGGATCAAGACACCAGAGACCTCACCCTTGCTGCGCAAGGGGAAGACCGTGGTGTACCGCGTATAATCGTCAACTACTAGCAGAAATTAGCGTTCGCGGCCCTGTCCACTGACGCGGGCTGGGCCCCACACGTCCATGTGGAGGGTCTGCAGGGGAGCAGTCGTCGGGGGAAACGAGGAGGAGTGAGGAACGGTGCGCTGCCGCCCCTTGACACAAGGAAGACAGGGAGGGGCAGTCGAGGGCGGTAAGGGAGGCTGAGACCTGGGGAGACCAGAGGCAAGGAGACAGGAGTGCATGCCACGAAGGCGTGGCAGGGAGGGGTGACCCAGGTGGTGGGACCTCAGAAGAGTCTGGTGCGACAGGAGGCGACACGAGCAAGAGGCGGCTACCTGACCTAGCGCAGACACTTGAGCAGACGCAGCGACCTGAGGAGGCTCGGTAGCCAGCGTGTACAGACTCGACCCTGGCTGACGAGTGAACGTAGCCAGGTGACGCCTCGTCCGTGTGCATATGCAGATCGACACACGCTGGCCCCCAGGAGTGGTGGTAGTGACCATCGCATCCTGGAGGGCAGCGGTACTCACCAAGTTCGTAGAGAACGAGGGAAGGTGAAGACCTGACAATGAGCCGAGGTCCAGACCTACCACCACCAGTCCCACTGCCTCCACTGCCGCCACTCCCTCCTCTGCTCCATTGCCGCCACGAGAGCCCCCAGTGCCGCCACCAGTCCCACCGCCGCCACCACCTCCACTGCCTCCACCACCTCTACCGCTGCCCCCACCACCGCTCCCACTGCCATCTCCACAACCACCGCTGCCTCCTCCACCACCCCGGCCACCCTTGCCCTTGCTGTTGCGGCGTTTCGCACTAGTCGAAGCAGCACCGACGTCCTCAGGAACTGAGACGTCTGCAGCAGCAGCAGAGGCGAAGGAGGGGGAAAGGGGGGAGGGGGAGCACCCCTCAAAGAAGGGCGAGCGCGGAGTGCCGACGAGCAGCACCTACAGCAACTGCACTAGTCTCAGCTGCGAGGAGATGCTACTCGAGGAGGTCAACAGTGAGGGTGGTGGGGTCGAGGGTGAGAAAGTGGTCCCTGACAGAGCGAAGGGAGTCAGGGAGGCGAGTGACTACGAAGTAGAGAGTGATGTACATTGGGGGCGGGTTCCCTGCAAGGAACTCGGCTGGGAGGGCAGCGCGGTAGCGAGCGTCGCTAGAGCGCAGGTGGGTAACCAGGTCCGCTACTGTGGCAAAAGTCGACAGCTCAGGGAACAGGTAGGGCAGTAGCAGCCTGCCAAGAGCAGCAGTGGCAGGGGAGGAGTAGCGAGCAATGACAGCATCGTACAGGGCCTGTGATGTCCTGTTCTCTCCAAAGTGAGCACATTCGGTCACGGGCAGGTGGTTGCGAATGGCCAAGCGGGCAGTAGCGTCACGAGACAGCCACTGGAAACGAGTCGAACTGTCAGCTGTGGCGGAAGGGGCTGGAGCGGCACCGGACACGTGGTCAAACAGTGAGACACTGTCCTTACTATCGCTCTGTAGGTACAGTTGCAGATCGTCGTGCCACGTGTCAAATGCAACCGGTCTGCCCTCCTGATCGAACCCTAGAACCCTAAGTGAAGCCATAGTGGCGCAGGACTCAGGAGCAGCAGTAGCAGCAGTAGGAGCAGCAGTAGTAGCTAAGGGGCCAGGGGGCGGGGCCGAGGGGCCTAGGGGCCGAAGGGCCAAACACGAGGGTGGCGGGGGCCGAGGGGCCGAGGGGCCAAGGATCCTAGGGGCCGAGGGGCCGAGGAGACTAGGGGCCGAGGGGCCAAGGGGCGGGGCCGAGGGGCCAAACACGAGGTTAAGGGGCCAAGAGGCCTAGGGGCCGAGGGGCCAAACATGAGGTTAAGGGGGGCCAAGGGGCCTAGGGGCCGAGGGGGCAAACAAGCTGGTGGCAGGGCCGAGGGGCCGAGGGGCCGAGGGGCCAATGGGCCTAGGGGCCAAGGGGCCGAGGGGCGGGGCCGAGGGGCCAAAGAGGCCTAGGGGCCGAGGTGCACGGCTAGGGGCGACGGGGCCAGTGGGGCCGAGGGGCGCAGCTAGGGGCGACGGGGCCAGTGGGGCCGAGGGGCGCGGCTAGGGGCGACGGGGCCAATCAGGGCCGAGGGGCGCGGCTAGGGGCGACGGGGCCAGTGGGGCCGAGGGGCACGGCTAGGGGCGACGGGGCCAATTGGGGCCGAGGGGCGCGGCTAGGGGCGACGGGGCCAGTGGGGCCGAGGGGCGCGGCTAGGGGCGACGGGGCCAACGGGGCCGAAGGGGCGCGGCTAGGGGCGACGGGGCCAACTGGGCCGAGAGGCGCGGCTAGGGGAGACGGGGCCAACGGGGCCGAAGGGGCGCGGCTAGGGGCGACGGGGCCAACGGGGCCGAGTGGCGCGGCTAGGGGCGACGGGGTCGACGGGGCCTTGGGGCGCGGCTAGGGGCGACGGGGCCAACGAGGCTGAAGGGGCGCGGCTAGGGGCGACGGGGTCGACGGGGCCAACAGGGCCGAGTGGCGCGGCTAGGGGCGACGGGGCCAACGGGGCCGAGTGGCGCGGCTAGGGGCGACGGGGTCGACGGGGCCAACGGGGCCTTGGGGCGCGACTAGGGGCGACGGGGCCAACGGGGCCGAAGGGGCGCGGCTAGGGGCGACGGGGCCAACGGGGCCTTGGGGCGCGATTAGGGGCGACGAGGCAAACGGGGCCAAGGGGCCGAGGTAGGGGCAGCGACGGGCCGGGGCCTAGGGGCCGTGAGCTACGGGGCCGAGGGGCCGTGAGCGACGGGGCCTAGGGGCCGTGAGGTGGCGCGACGGGCCTAAGGGGCGCGACGGGCCTAGGGGGGGGGGTACTAGCAGCGTAGCAGGTGGTGGGCCCAAGAAACCTCCTCTGATTCCATGTGAGAATAACAAACGAGAATGGAATGAACTAGCAGCAGGATGAGTACAAGTTCTAACCCTGAGTTGTGTTGTACCCCATATAGGCTACCCCACTACAGACTACACAATGTGCAGCATATGAGTTTGACAGTTATGAGATGGAAAATTGACACTATCGTAAATGGGGTGTTGCGAAGTGATTTGGCAAAATTAGCGAAATTCTGTTACACAAAAAGTTCGAATTTCAGGTTCAAAACGAACACGTTCTTAGGTTCAAGTTCAATCATCTACAAATCAGCGGCTTCAGGCTAATTTTGGTTTTTAATACGGTATATGGATTCTTATATTAATTTACCGTATGACCCGGGATATAATCTTATGCCTATTAAAAGCGCATGCGCTTATATCTGAGGCAATGCGCTTATGGCCGATCCTCATTTAAACCCTGATATATAATAAGCGCATGTGTAATTTGATTTTTAAATCCTTGGTAAAAATGGTAACGAATTTCAATTTGACAGCGAGGCCACAGTGATGTGATGTGCAATTTGGTGTTTTTAAATTATACATATGTATTTGTCATTTTATAAGCGCATGCGCTTATATTTTTTACTCAATCATAAGCGCACCCCCCTATAAAACACAGTTTTATTATAAGCTCAGGTGCACTTATATCCGGGGTGATACGGTATACACACACACACCCAAAGCCCCAAGTTCTTGTGGATACTTGTACGTTTTAAAATGTTCACTAACCTTATTGAAATACTTCATAAACCAGTTGTTCTCTGTGACGGGTAAAACTCGTAACACTCTCTTTGTCAACTGCGAACTCTCTCTTCTCCCATACCCTTCCCCACATCTCGCCATTGCCATTCTCCCTAACGCCCTCCCTGTAATATCTCTCTTCTCGCTCTTCCCCCACCTCCTCATCATGCTGCTTCCTCTTCCCTCCATCCCCTTCCACCATTCTCCCTGCAACTTCTTCCTCTCTACATGCTTTGGAACTCTGATCTCTACCCTCCATTAGCAAACTAGTCACGATTTCTCGCCGAACCTCCTCAGACTCCTCCCGAGCCTCCTCAACCTCCCCCCGAGCCTCCTTCTCAGCCACTCCATAAGCCCCCTGCTCCTCCCCGGGTACCTCCCGGACCTTCTTCCGAGCCTCATTCCATGCTGTGGCAAACGCACAGTCAGCAGCATCAATCGCTGACGTGGCATAATCCTCCACGTTACCATCCAGAAAGCCTCGCCCTGTCTCCCCATCAGCCTGGATTGGCGCTCTTAGCAGCCCAGTCAGCAGCCCATACTCCTCTGCCCGTTTAGCCCGGGTAACTTCCCCTCGAAAAGTCTGCCCTAGTACACCATGCACTGCATTGGTGTTCTGTTGTTTAGTCCATTAGAAAGGGAAACAGAGAGAAACAGAGGTGGTGAGACGGTAACATTAACACAAGGCGCAAAAGGGGTTACATGGATGGGGCAACGAACAGTGTAGATACCTATATATATATGTATATACACACGCACACACATATATGAATGTATATATAAATATCATTTAGAATCCACTCACATTCAAGTACTTGAAATAGACGTTGAAGTGAGTGTAAGCCTCTTCAGCAGTCTGCAGCAGCGGGTGTGCGGCATGCAAGGAAAGCTCAATGCTTGCTACTCCCGCCACTCGCACGCGGTATGTGTCCCTGTCCCTTCCATCCCCCATGGGCCCCGCCGCTGCCAGCACCATGTGAAAGGTCCCCTCCCCATGCACTGCCTGCCCCACCTGGGGAAGAGAGCAGTAGGAAGGGGGGGAAGAAAGATGACGGAAAAGAGGAGGTGAGGAAATAAGGAGAGGGTGGCGGTTACAGCAGAGGGTGAGTGTGGAGCGGGGTGATTTGAGAATCCTAAAAAACACCCAGCACAAAACGAAAACTGAGAACCGGAGAGGAGACGTAGGTTCAGGGTGAGAGTTAGAGGTGGGAGTAACCCGGGACAGAGACACCTTCAGTGTTACCTGGGTGGGCGCAATCACTTCAAATTGTTACCTGAGTGGGAGGGGTAAGAGGTCGCCCGTCCACTACCATCCTCTCAATGAGCCCCCTCTGCCCCTGCCGCTGCTCCCTGCCGTCCCGTGCTTTCAATACCCTACAGGTGACAACCAGTTACCTGAGTGGGAGGGGTGAGAGGTCGCCCGTCCACTACCATCCTCTCTATGAGTCCCCTCTCCCCCTGCGTCTGCTCCTTGCCGTCCCGCGCTTTCAGGAACACCGAGTGCTGCCGGCCAATGGGATCTCGCCACGTCATGTAGAGCTCCCTGGATGGCAGGAGCAGGCACGAGGAAACGACAAAAGGATTACTACTAGTTACAAAGAAGGCACAAATACTAAAGGCTGATGTGCTGCGCAGCTGGGGGTTCTGTAAGGCACGAATACTAGCGACAATTCCTTTATCTATAGAATTTTGAAGCTATGCACAGCATTAGTTCTGAGCCGACCTAAAACAAATGGCGCACAGCATTAGTTGTGAGTCGACTCAAAACAAGATACGCACAGCATTCAAACCACTCTGGCAGATTCCGGACAGACAGCAGGTAGAACGAACAGTTAAACTCCCCGTGAAAGCCCAACCCAGCCCAAGACACTACCGTGCATACCTGATCCAGGATCATATGGGCAGCTTGTGCCTTCCCTTCCCTCCTCTCCTTTCCCCCACCGCCTTTCTCCCTTCCTCATACCCCTTGAAGCCCATGCTCGCATGCAAGTCTCGGTCAGTCAGCAGGCAGAACGACCGGCTTAACTCCCCGTGGAAATCAAATCTAGCCCGGGAAAACCTACCCCAGAAGGCACCTAGTCCAAGACACTACCTTGCCTACCTGATCCAGGATCGTATGGGCAGCTTGTGCCTTCTCTTCCCTCCTCCTCCCCTGCTGCCAACGCCACTGATTCCTCTCCTCCCTCCCACCGCCATCCTCGAGTCCTCATACCCCTTAATCCCCATGTTGATATGCAAATCTCGGTCAGTCAGCAGGCAGAAGGAGCGATTCAACTCCCCGTGGAAATCAAATCTCGTGCCCTCCGCGCCCACGAAATGCGGGTCGTTCTTCACTTCCGCGAGAGGGTTGCATTTGCCCCCGATATAAGACGGATCAACACTCGTTTTAGTGTTGTCTACAGTGAACTTGTCCAGGCTGGTTAGGAGCCTGCAGACGCCGTTCCCGGGAACGCTGAGGTTGGTTGAGGGGAGGGGCAGGGGATGCATGCATGTACTTATCGGCTGGAGCGGTAGAGCAGTGAGCAGCAGAGTTTTGAGACGTCTGAAAACTCATCTCAAGTCTCAAAACTGGAAGAAGGCGCACTTATCGGCTCGAGCAGCAGCGCAGTGAGCAGAATTCAAGGGGGACGGCACTCGGGAGGGGCAGGGCAGCACGCAGGGGGGCTAGCACACGGGGGGAGCGGCACAGCAGCATTCTCAGCGGCGGCTCGTAGTGGAAAAAGACGCATTCTCAGCTGCTTGGGCGCATTATTTGCAGCACACAACACGTGGGCATGAGCATTGAGGCCCGGCCAAGCATGCGAGCGAGCACGTGAACGAGTGGTGAAACTTGTGGGAGGACGGAAAAAACGTAGTGGAATAAACATACACTTGTCGGCTGGGGCAGTGGGGCAGTGAGCGACTTTTGAGTCGACTCAAAAGACACTCACAGTGGCGGCTTGTAGTGGAAGAAACATACGCTTGCTGGCTTGGGCAGTGGGGCAGTGAGCAAGTGAATGAGTGGGGAACACTCGTGGGGAGCAGCACAGTACAGTAGCAGCACTCACTTTGGCGGTTCAAATATTTTAGGCGCCTCAAAAACAGTACAGTAGCAGCACTCACATCGGCGGTTCAAATATTTTAGGCGCCTCAAAAACAGTACAGTAGCAGCACTCACATCGGCGGTTCAAATCTTTTAGGCGCCTCAAAAACAGTACAGTAGCAGCACTCACATGGGCGGTTCATAGTGGAAAAAGATACAGTTGTAGGCTTGGGGCAGTGGAGCAGCGGAGCAGTGAGCAGCAGCACTCGAGGGGAGCAGCACTCGAGGGGAGCAGCACTCGAGGGGAGCAACACACACACTCACATGGGCGGCTCATAGTGGAAAAATATACACTTGTCGGCTTGGGCGCATTTTTGGCAGCACACAACACGTGGGCACGAGCGTTGAGGCACGGCCAAGCATGGGAGAGAGCAAGTGAACGAGTGGTGAAACCTGTGGGAGGGACACACACACTCACAGTGGCGGCTCGTAGTGGAAAAAGACGCACTCGTCGGCTTGGGCGCATTTTTGGCAGCACGTGTTCACGTTTATGACCTGTGTGTGGATGGGGGAGAGAGAAGGAGGCAGGGGAGGGACAAGGGGAGAAAGGACGAGGGGAGGGAGGAGGGACATGCTTGGGCGCATTTTTGGTAGCATGTGTTTACGTTTATGATCTGTATGTGGATGGGGGAAGGAGAAGGAGAGGCGGCGGAGGGACGAGGGGCGGGGGGAAAGGAGAGGCGGGGAGGGACGAAAGGAGGGGGAGAAGGAGAGGCGGAGGAGGGACGAGGGGAGGCGGGGGAGGGACGAGGGGAGGGGGAGAAGAAGCATGTCGATGGGGGAAGGGGGAAGGGCGAGAGAGGAAAGAGGAGGTAAGGTATTCGTAATACACATGAGGTGGATCCTACTGCCTGTGCAGAATGTAAGTGCAATAACGCAGATAGAAAGTGTACACAGCATGGGTATAAATAAACCGTGTTAGGGGAGCGCGGGAGGCACGACGACACTTGGGCGCGGGGGAGGGTGACTGGGGGGAGAGGAGAGGCGTACATTGGTCTTCAGTATCACGTCGGTGCTGTCTGTGAGCTGTCCGGGACAGTTGGGGGGGGGAATCCGGGGAGGCGCAGAGAGAACGGGGATGGGCGGGGATGAGGAAAATGGGTTGAGCGGGACAGGCCGACAAAGGGAAGAGAAGATGGCGCAAGGACTCCCTGTGCCTGTAGTGGCAGGAAAGAGAGGCGCGGAAACAGATGCGCGAGGACTCTCTGTGTTACCGCTGTTACCGCTGTAACCGCTGTTACCGCTGTATTTGTTCGTATCCGCTGTTACAGGCAGTTAATGCTGCTACTGCTGTTCCCACTCCACGCTCCCACGCTGTCATTTTATGCTGCCGTTCACGCTCGTACTCAGTGACGCCGGGTCCCTACACAGCACAAACGCTTTGCACCGCACTAAACCGCGCTAGGCCGTGCAACACCCACCTTGTACCGCTCGTAGTTCATGTTGCCATTCGCGCTGATAATCGTCGACGCCGTACCCCCTAACAAGCCTAACAAGGGAACCGCATTGTACCGCATCCAACCGCACTCCAACGTGCAACACCCACCTTGTACCGCTCGTAGTTCAAGTTGCCGTTCGCGTTGATAATCGCCGAAGCTTTACCCGACGGCAACAACCACCGCCCCCGGGTGTACCTGACGCAGCGTGACGTCAGACAGCCGCCCTTCGGCGTCAGCACGTCGAGAGATTCAGCGCGGGCCACGTGGCAGGAAGTATCTTCAGACAGAAGGATTGATGATAGCAGGACGAGGGGGAGGATAGCTGCTAGCGCGTGGCGGAAGGAAGCGAAGGGCGCGCGCAAGCAGCGGGGAAGGGAGAGGGGAATGGCGCGCGGAAGGGGAGTGGCGCGCGGAAGGAGAGTGGCGCGCGGAAGGGGAGCGGCGGGCGGAAGGATAGAACCGAAAGCGTGGGAGGCGCGATGGCGGAGATGGCGGCGGCGGCGGTGGCGGCGGTTTGGGAGGAAATAGGGTTGGGAGCGAGAGACGGATGGGGGAATGAGGGGAGAGGGAAATAGCTGGTCCCGTCGCGTCCGCAGCGCCATGATAACAACTTGCTGAGTATCTGATCACCTTTGGGGGTTCCCGTGTTTGGAGATATCTGTATCGGAGGTACTTGTATCGGAAATTACTGTATCATACTAGGTCACTCTATCAGAGGTGAGTGTATCTGAGGTTACTGGAAAGTGCTGTATCAGAGGTGACTGTATCAGGAGGTTAGTGTATCGTGCTCCTGTGCGCGTGGTGGTGGCTGTCTCGTGCGACGGGAAAGTCAGGACTGACAGCCACGTTAGACTATACTCAACGTTGCTGGTGAAATGTTGAGCTGCTCCTAGACCTCCTAGAATCAAGATCCGATAAGCACCTTCACGACTATCATGGATTCCGCGCTTGTCTCGCATCGCCTACCGCGGTACCGCGTTAGAAGCTACTACCTTCCAATCCAGCATTTAACGGCTACCAACGGAGCTTATAACGCGGATCGCAGCCTCCGCTGCACCTCTCTCTTGACCTCTCTCTTCGCAGCGCATTAACAAGGGTGCATGTCAAATCGGTTCGAGATCGTATTTGCGAATTCTCTCTTCGGCTCGCGCTGCAGCTTCGAAAAACAGCAATGTCTTTCTCCGGAACAGGAGGTCTGTGCCAAAACGTAAGGCTCGTTCGTTCCTTATGTTTAGAGGAACGTCTTAGATCTCGCGCGAGCCGTGTGTGGACGCACACAGGATGCTTGACGGTGGGCCGAGCCGCGGAAGAGAGCCACGAGGTGATACGGCAACAGCGAGGTGGTGGGATGGGCAGGAGGATCGCAAGTGTGACGAACCCTGACTGACGAAGGACCATGCACAACAGTAGAGTGATCGCGAAATGTCTGAGCGAAACTCTCAAGGAAGTAGGCAACGCTCGCGAAATTATTGACGAAGTCGTCAATGGAGCTGTGCCTGCAGCTTGTGTGCAGTGACTTCGAAGCAGAGTGGAGACAAGAAAGTCAAGGAGAAGAAGGGATACGCCAAGAACGATCTCGAATTCGTCTCATGAGGGTCAAGTGAACAGTTCAGAAAAAAATGGGTGGAGCAGTAATCCAAGGTTTTGAAGGGGGAAAACAAAGCATTGGTTGACCAATCATGGCTTGATCTCTAGATCCAACCATTCACCGCCTCCTTCCTGACTGCGCGGCGTGTCTCGACTCTCGAGCGTGTGGCAGGGTCGCTCTGTCAAAACATTTGGCGGGAAAGGGAGGAAAGCTGGAAGTATGCTTGTGAACCAAACCGACTGAAACCGTCAGGATGAAGTTACAGGGCTTGAAACTGGGTAACAGAGGGCCGGTGAGGTTTTTGCAAATGGCCTGCACCGACGTCAGAAACATACAATGTTACAAGGTTTCTGAAGCATCCACTTCAATGACGTTTGACCACACAAAACATGGATAAACCAATAATAAAAGTAGAGTGTACGTTCTACTACCTACCTCCCATCACAATACAGATTGAGGACAGGCGGATTGAGCCACTGGCCCAAGAGGAAAATCAGGACAGATAAGCCGCGAAATTATGTCACATTGAAGGAATGAGCGAACAATATATAGCGAAGCTATCGTGGTAGCGGTAACGCGAGAAAATGGGGTGCGCTACGGGCCTAGTGCTGAGGTTGGGAAATGTCGAGGCGGAGGTCCGGAGTGTTGGAAACAACTTATTTAAGCGCCTCTGTCGTGTCGAAACACCAAGACAGAAGCGAAGCAGATCGTATCGAAACATCGGTGAGTCAACCCTCGGAGGTTGAACAACTGCCGGAGGTTACGCGAAAGTCAAAGGTCAGCGACCTTTGACCTGACAAATGCAGCGCGACAGCAAGGACAAACAACTGTCTCGATACTGAGCAGTTGCCCGAGTCGACACTGTATCGAACCGCAACAGCAACAGTAAAACAGTTATTAACTGTATCTCTTCATATTCCTTTGTATTCTTATAAAAGCTTGTATCTCTTTTGTTATTATCAACTTACTTTGCCCTCACACACAAGCGCAAGGTGGTTCACAATCCCTTAATTAAACGCTTCCGCTACTACATCATCCTACTCTTGAATTCTGTCCTGCAAAGATCCTAAAGGGCTTTCTCAGCCCAACACGGAGCACAGGTTACCAACCGAACCGTGAGTTTGGGTCGCGTCGTGAACAGTGGTCGAGGCGAGTGTCGCGAGCGGGTAACGTTTCACTGTTTGGTGCTGTTGGCAGAAACAGTCATGTACGCTGTAAGCAGGGGCGCGAAGTAAGGAAAGGGGAATTTTCTTACACTACCCCCCTCCCCAAGGAGGCTCCCCTTATGAAAGCAAGTGCACATCTCGGAAGTTGCGGCTGCGGAGATACTCGGCGAGGACGGGGTGGTTTTCAGTTCTATCCAGGGGCATCCACAGGGTTTTTTTATCAGAGTAAATTACTCCGTTTCTCTGAAAATCAGAGTGGTTTTTGGGGGGTCACTCTGACGTTTCTGGGTATTTTTTTGGAAGATAAGTTTTCTCTGATTTGCCAGGGTTTTGTTTTTAGCTACTCTGATAGACCATAGTAAATTCCTGGCGAATGCATTCTTCTCTGTACAGGGTACAGGCATTTAGACCGAGCCCCCACTATATTGTTAGTAATAAATGGCTGGCGGACCTGCACTTGGACATTAAATATATACGTATGCGTCTCCACATTCTCATCGAGCGGGTAGCACAACAATTATCACTTTTGTAGGAACGCGGAAGGCGTGGGTTCAATACTCGAGAGGACACTCAGAGTTGGGAATATATGTACACTGACTGGCCATAGTTTTTCTTAGGGAAGTGAAGTTTTGTCTGACAAATCAGAGTAACGCTCATGATCAACCCTGATTTTCAGAGTTCCAAAAAACAAAAACTCTGAAAATCCGAGTAGTGAAAATAAATAAATAAAAGCCCTGGGCAACCAGTTGTCCTCGGTGGGCGTGCGGTCCTTCCAGCGAATCAAGAACTCGATCCTATGAGCTCCACGTGGGTCACGAGCTCGATGGCTCAAGATTTTCTTGGGTGTGATGACTGGCTCCGTTGGTGGTCGTGTCATGCTGGCGGGGCGGTTGCGAGGCAGTTGGCTGGTGGAAGGGACGTATGGGCGGAGTAAGCTGACGTGGAACGACGGGCTGACGTACCATTCAACAGGGAGGAGGAGGTGAGCGGTGACAGGCATGATCATGTGGCTGGTGCGGAATGGCCCACAATATCGAGGGCGTAGTTTCGGAGTAATGGGCAGGCGGAGGTTTTGGGTGTCGAGTAACACGAGGTCGTCGAGCTGGTAGGTGACGGGGCGACGGTGCCGATCGGCGTTGCGCTTAGCGATGATATTGGATTTTTTACTAGCGTCTGCTGCTCGGATCCGTGATGCTTGTAAAATTTATGCGAATTGTTGCGCGCGTGGTACCGGGTTGTCGGGATTCGGGGTCATGGGCACTGTTGGGTGTCAAACATTATATGTTTATCTTTCTCTAGACTCTAGTGGGTTTAGCCTTAGGTACACAAAATCCCTCGACATTGCTCTTGTACCCCCCCACCAACCTAATCGACCAACTTGTTCTCTCTACTCTACTCACCTAGTCTAGAGTAGATTCTATCATGGTATTATGAGCAGGTCCCATAGGACCTATTTTTTTTAGGGCCCACCATTAGCTTGTATCCTACCCGTTCGATCTGCCCCGCCCCACGAAATCGCGACCGTCTGTTAGCTAGTGCCGCCCTGCCTAGCGCGATTTCGGGGTCTGGCCTAGGCGCGACCCGTACGCGACCTGCCTGCGCCCTACTCGTCCGCACTGCTGTCACTTACGTGGCTGCTACTGCTGCATGCGCTGCTGCTGCTGCCTTCGCGGCCTTCGCGCGCCCCGCCTGCAGTGCGCACTGCGTGCTGCCCCGCACACCCCTATGTATTGCCCGCTGTTGCGCGAGCTGCTGCCCTTACACGAGTGCACACCCGCCCCCTGCGCGCTGCCGCTGCCGCTGCGCTGCTGCTGTGCACAAGCGCCCGTGCTACTGCTGCATGCGGTGCTGCTGCTAAGCGCTACTGCTGCTGCTGAGCGTGGCTGCTGCTGCTGAACGCGCTACTGCTGCAAGTGTTCCTGCTGCTGCGCCTGAGCTGCTGCTGCTGTCACTTCTGCAGCTTCTACTGCTGCATGCACTGATGCTGCTGCTAAGTGCTGCTGCTGCTGCTCAGCGTGCTGCTGCCACTGCTGCAGGCTCTGCTGGTGCTACCAGTGCTGCATGCTCTACTGCTGCTGCCACTGCTGCATGCTCTACTGCTGCTGCTAAGTGATGCTACTACTGCTAAGCGCACTGTTGCCCAGGGCTGCTGCTGCTGCTAGTAGCTGCTGCTGCTGCTGCCTGCCCCACCCGCAATCGCGCTGCCCTGCCTAGCGTATTTCCCGCCAACAGCCTGCGCCCTACTGTGCACTACTACTGCTGTCACCTGCGCGGCCCCTCCTGCTGCATGCACTGCTGCTGCTACCTGCTGCTGCTCCTTGCTGCTGGTGCTCCCTACTGCCACTGCTGCTGCATGCGCTGCTGCTGCTACCACTGCTGCATGCTCTTCTGCTGCTGCCACTGCTGCAACCTTTGCTTCTCCTGCTAAGTGATGCTACTGCTGCTAAGCGCACTGCTGCCCAGAGCTGCTGCTGCTGTGCGCTGCTGCTGCTGTCACCTGCGCGGCCCCTCCTGCTGCACGCGCTGCTACTGCAAGTGGTCCTGCTGCTGCGCCTGAGCTACTGCTGCTGCCCAAGCTTCCTGCACGCACCCAGCCCGCGCGCTGCTGCTGCTGCTGTGCGCCTTCTCCTATGTGCTGCTGCTGCTACTGCTGCTACTTACTGCAGCTGCTGCTCCTTGCTGCTGCTGCTACTTGCTGCAGCTGTCGCTCCTTGCTGCTGCTGCTCCTTGCTGCTGCTGCTCCTTGCTGCTGCTGCTCCTTGATGCTACTGCTCCCTACTGCCACTGCTGCTGCAACTCCTCTTGCTGCTGCTGCTACGACGGCTACTGCAGCTATGGCCAACTTCTC